CAGGAGCCACGAGCCCCACCCTTGACCCTAGGGCTCCAATACAGGTTACTGTCCTCCTATCCCTCCGGAGGAAACACTAAAAAACTGAAGGGAGGCCTGGAGGTCCACCTTTTAAGGTTCTGGGCCTATGTGTTTCCTGTCCCCGAGAGAGGAGCTCTACGTCTGAAGGGGCTGTCGTGGAAGACGTTTTGAGAAAAAAACATTTGGGTAAACTGAGTATATTATAGTCTGTAATATCCTTTGAACTAGGTTTCTTCAACTCATTGTAAAACTGTTTAATATCTTTGGAAGGGAGATGCACGACCCAGCAATGCCTACATTGGTTTTATTCTTTATCCAACATGAAACAGAAACTTTTAGCTGAAGAAAGATTTATTAAAAAAACAAAACAATCAAACATATTTTATAAATAAACACAATACAATTTTTTAGAACATCAGCACATTTTATTCCACCCATTGTTTCAAAATCACCATTTTTACAGCATTATCATCTCCTGTACAAGAGCAAGTTGCAGCACACTACAGAGCAATGCAATGCAGACTGGAAGCCAAATTTACAAAAGGTTCTTGGGCAAAAGAACAAATTTGTTTATTTCTTCATACCTATCCATCTATATTTCACCTCAGCAAATATATACAGTGTTTATTGAAGGCTTAAAGGTTTTTTTCCAGGCTAAAATAAATGTCAGCTACGAAATAGTATTCAAGAGCTTCTCTTCTTCCACATTTCACAGCTGACAGGAGTTCCGTTTAAGGTCTTTTCTGTTTAAGGTCTTTGTCACAAAGTATTAATATCAGAGGCAGTCAAACAATGCTGGAGGGAGGACAAGAAAGGGAGCCCCCATATTTCTGAGTACAGGTTACTGTAAAGAAGAAGTAGGGCCAAAGCTCTTTTGGCCCTACTTCTCCAGTGAGTCACAGGAGTGCACTTTGTTCTGCAATTCTATGAGCTGTTTTCAGCTGAGAGTGGGTAAAGGCCACTGTTGGCTGACATCACAGTCAGTCCAGACTGTGGAGACCCCAACTTTAATGTCAGGATCCACCCAGATGCCTGGACCATCAGCTGGCTTATTGTCTCAGTGTGCAGCTAAGAGACTGAGCCAGCTGCTCCCACTCCCTCCACAGCCCAGCATTCCAGAGAGCACCAGAGAGGAAGAGCAGAGAACCAGTGACTGGCAGTCACTGCTCAGCAAAGACCGAGAACGGAGCGATCAGTAGTCTTTGATCACTCAATTCTCGGTCTTAAAAGCGGAAGGAGAAAGACCCAGCACTGGATCAACGCTGCAAGTGAATATTGATTCCCCCCAAAACTTCTCTTTTAAAGCGTATAAAAAGCCAAACCTTTTTTTTTTTCATAAGGGAAGGTTAGAACCAATGACAATTATTGTTTTTGCCATTTCCTTCATTCTCTACCCTGTAGACTCAGTATAACTCAGATGATATGTTTCAACGGTGAAGGAATTCCACTCTTAATACAGTTGTCACAAGAACATGTGCCTCCATTTGAAGATTACTCCTCTATTCTTGTTCTGGGAACAACAGAAATGTTTGGATTTACCCTCACTTTCATTCCCTAGGACAGAGAGGAGAATCTAACCATGGTTTTTCCCATCACCACTCAGATGGTATGTAAAGCGTTAGAGGCTTTAGTTATACTTTACCCATTTCCAAAAGTCAGCCTAGAGTACATATATGCTTAGGAAGTAGTTCTGGTACGGTGGGAGTTTTGCAGCACCATGCAAAGAAATTTCAAGCAATGATATTTTACTTTAGCTTGGAGAAAACTTTAAAAAAAAAAAAAAAATCAATGCTTTTGCTAAAAAGTAATACAACATAGTCCAGTACTACACAGGCAATTTAGTCATTTGGTTAGTGTATAAAAAAAAAAAGTCACTTTCTCCTGCCATAGACAGAGAACTATGTGTTTGTATATCGAATAATCAAGAGGTTCCATTTAACAGCCAATGTGGCTAGCTGCTTTTACCAGATATCTGCTTGCGATAACATTTCAGGGATCCTCAGCACTGTTGCCAGAGTTAACTACAGCAAACCAGATAATATATTTGGTCATGTCTATAGGAGTGCTGAAGATGACATGCCATACTTATTACAACACTGAGACCAATCATTTTATTTATTACAGGTACTTATATAGCACTGCCAATTTATGTAGCACTTAACATATATATTGTACAGTCACATCAGTCCCTAACCCTCAAGGAGTGTACAATCTAAGGTCCCTAACTCTCATTCATACATACACATATAAGGGTCAATTTAGACAGGAGCCAATAAACCTACCAGCATGTCTTTGGAGTGTGTGAGGAAACTGGAGTACCCGGAGGAAACCCATGCAGGCACAAGGAGAACATGCAAACTCCATAAAGGTAGTGCACCAGTTTGGATTCAAACCAAAGATCGTAGTGCTGCCAGGCAGACGTGCTAATCACTTAGCCACTGCACATTGCGACAGATCGTGACGGATTGTTTTTCTTTTCACTAAAGCTTTTGGAGTGTTTCAGGATACAATGCTGTGTGATACTGCATTAAATAAAAACACACAAAAAAAAAAAATAATCTAACATCTAAAGCACACCTGCTGAATCTAGGTTCACACCTAAGTGTTTTGCCTTGCATTTTGCAGAAATGCACTACAGTCCATTTAACATGATTTCCTATGGGACACTTTCACATCTCCACATTTTCACACGGTGCATTTTTTGGAAAGGGTCAGGGACTTTTTCAAATGCAAAACGTTGCGTTTTGGTTCCACAGACTTCAATATAGATGCTGCAGAAAAGCATGTAATGCGCTTTTGACGCGTTTCTGCGATTTAATCTGCCCAGTAACAAGTTGAAAAAAAACCCCAAAAAACCGCAAAATGCATGAAAAATACATATGTAAAACACAACGCAAAAAGCACTGCAGAAACGGATGAAACACAAACTGCATAGGTGTGAACCTAGCCTAAGAAAGTAACTCTCAGTTGTTAGCAGAAAAACAACCCTTGCGTACTTAGTAGATCTTGCACGCCTCAGGGTGAAAAACATGGCTGGAAGTTTGGGAAACCATTTATACTTCTCACAGCCGGAAAACAAACACAGGCCATCACAACAGTTTTTCTGTTATCCCTTTGTCATGCCCCATTTAAAATAAATGTCACAGTCCCAGCTAAGTCAAATTGAGCATTTAAAGCAGAAATTACTTTAAAAAGAGACAACTTATCAAAAGATCAGTAGATCCAGAAATACAGGTAGCAGTAGTTATATGTAAACTTTACTTGTAAAAGTCAAGCGTGGCCCCTGAACCCTCTCACATTTCGAGTCCATTGGTCCTTTAATGTACTGGAAAACCACTCATTTGATTTCTATATAAACTCAGTAGCCATTACTTCTAGCTTTACTGACTCTCCAAACACATGGTTTTCAAAATAGGTGATCTTTGCTTATGCATGTTGCATTTATTTACTTGGCTTGAATTGCTCAGGTTTGTGACAGATTTATATTAAATGTGACAGGATAACTGGACAAGCAAATTCCAGGATTTCCTCTGAAAGTGAAAATAAGTTTGCCCTTAAGTGGTTAAACTATTATTGCTCTTCTCACCATAAACACAAATATAACTTATAATGTAAATAAAATTTAATATATAATGATCTCTGATTAATACAATAATGAGGACCTGTAGAAAGGATGTCTGGCATTGTTGGGGAAATATATATATATATATATATATATATATATATATGCAAGATCTTTTTCATAAAAGCCTCAGTAGATTAGAGGACCTGCAAAACAGAGATCTTGCCTTGGAGTCTAAAAAAAAAAAGTCCATTAGCATCTATATACAGTTTAAATAATTGTTTTGGGAGGACTGGGCCTTAATAAGATTCCTACATTCCAGGCAAGACTTCCTCACACCCAGTTAACGTTGGCTCAAGAATGGCTATTTCATGGATATGTAGCAGTGCACTTCCATAGAACTAGCTATTTCATAAAGTTGGCTACCTCCAACCCTCAGTTAGACCAGGTAAGCCTGAAAGTGACAGGTTCCCTTTAAAGTCTGTTGATATGCATGCAGGGGCGGACTGACAACGCATGGGGCCCCCAGGCAATAGGGGATCATGGGGCCCCTGTGTCCTTGTCCAAACTCAAAAAAGCCTATGAAAAAAGGTACCAGAGGCATCTCATGGGGCCCCCTACTGACCCCGGGCCCTCGGGCAGTGCCCGAGTTTCCAAATGGTCAGTCCGCCCCTGTATGCATGGAGAATAACAAAAATGAGGCAGTAACAACCCCGAGGCGGCTCATAAAAAGAAAAGGATACTATAATATCAAATGTTATCTTTACATTACATTAATTACCAATATTGCATTACATTATTTTCAGATTAGTGTCCATTTAATTGCAGTTATCTCTGCATACTCAAATTTCAGGTGACACCTGACCACACCAACCAGCTCGACAGACTTCAAAATTTAAAAATTGAAGGAGCTGGGGGAAAAGGTTGGCTGAACAGTAACTGCAGCCAATCGATTCACTCACTGTTTGAGTATACTGACAGCCATAGGTGTGTTCTGTCAGAATACAATAGCCAGCAGCTGGAGATTTGTCCATCCATAGTGTCGATGGGGAAATCTACTGAATGTTATTTACGTATCTGGCTAGGTTTAGCAAAACATTTAATGGTCCTCATGAAAAGAAGGAATAGTACTGAAATTCATTACTTCAAGCCAGATTCTTGTCCATAAGCATGAAATCATTCACCTAAATAAATAATTACACGATTCTCAAATTCATAGCTATTCATTAGTTAAAAATATGGAATTTTCTACTAAACGTCCGTAAATGCTGCCATGTTTGCCAATATTAGAAGATGTTTTGCAACATATACATTTCATTGAGTGTAATGAAAGTTGCAAGACTAAGCCAAGTACTTTACTATGTACATAATATGAAGATATAAACTTCACTACTTTGCCCAAGAACCACAGCTTTCGTTATTCAATATCTTCTGGTCTAACAGGATGGGGTAAGGGTATAATAGACTTTTTCTCTGTATCTCTTGATAGCGCCTTTCTCATGTCTGAAAATAAAAAGAAAATGCAGATTAAACTTGGAGTTCTGCAACAACAGAAAGCACATTACCCTAGGTTCACACCTAAGCATTTTCTGCAGCGTTTTGCAGAAACGCTGTACAGTCCATTTAACTTGATTTCCTATGGGGCATGTTTACACCTGTGCGTTTTCGCCTGGTGTGGTTTTTGGAACGCAAAACGTTGCGTTTTTGGTTCTATAGACTTCAAATGGGAACGCTGCATGTATTGCTTTTTTGCTGCATTTTGCTTTTAAAATCTGCCTAGCAACAAGAAAAATTAAAAAAACAAAAACGCATCAAAAACGCAAAACAACGCAAAATGCAATGCAGAAACATCTGCATAGGTGTGAAGCTAGGGTAAATGTGGGAAATAGCCACCCACTAAAGAAATACTGAATTTTTTACAAACTTTTTTTTTTAAAAGAACACAGTAAAAATAAGAATGCACAGTATATTCCCAAAAATCGTTTTACAGGTATTTTATGCTGCACTAAACATCTGCCCTATGAGACCCTTATACAGGCAGCAGTATTGAGATCTCTGTTTCAAGACAGTAAATTATTTCTAATTCATTGAAAATCCCCCAATTTCTCCACTCACCAACTTATTAGTACACTCTGCATGGAAAAGTACATGTATGCCCAGCTGGGGAGACTATGCAAGGTTTGATAGAAATTTAAGCACTTCAAGTCCGGACGCTTTCACCCCCTTCCTGTCCAGGTCACTTTTCAGCTTTCAGTGCTATCACACTTTGAATGACAATTGCGTGGTCATGCAACACTGTACCCATATGAATTTTTTAGCATTTTTTTGAGACAGATAAAGCTCTATTTTGGTTTTATTTATTCACCACTGGGATTTTTTTTTTTTGCTATGTAAATGAAAGTCCAAAAATTTTGAAAAGTGTTTTTCTTATAATATTTTGCAAATAAATATTTAATCATAAATCTTGGCCAAAATTTATTCCGTTATCTTTTTAGTAAAAAAGAAAATATATATATAACCAAATTAGTTTATAACCAAAAATGGTTAACCATGGTGACACTGTACTACTTGTTGGGGGTGATGAAGATTTTTTTTTTTTTTTTTTTTTTTTTTTTTTTTACACAGAAGGCTGTAAAATCAATCATTTCTTCTTCTCTCTGGCTGCATTCTTGCAGCCATTGAGAACTATTGTGTGAGCTGTGATTGGTCACAGCTTGTCACATGGTACAAGGCTGTTGTGAATAGCCTTGTACCATGTGACCTCTGTGATCATTCACACATTTCACACGTAGTAAGCAATGATGTCAGAAGTGACATCTTGCTTACTACTCTGCATGTGATCACTGATTGGCCAATCAGTGATCACGTGATCGGGACCTCGCTCAGAGGTCCCGTCCGATGATCGGTGTTCCACTGTGTCTGGAGGACACAGCAGGCACCAGATCGCGGTGCTGTGCGCTCCCAGGAAGCGCGCACAAGCAGGGGGCGGGCAGGCCATTTATAAACGGCCACCCGCTCCTGCACTGCCACCGTCCAGCTGTTTATATACAACGGCCGGACGGAAGGTGGTTAAGGACTATGGCTTGCAGTTTCAGGTAAGGCTACTCTGTATTTGCTGAGCGTCCTACTGGGCTAATAACTGCATTAAGCAGCTGGCTCTACTGGTATCTATCCATCCATAGTCGCTTCCAGGCATCACTCTGCATTATCTGGTCGCTTCCCTGGCGAGCATTGCATATGCCATACAGCTGCTTACTGGCGCAACTCTGCAACAATTGGTCACTTCCCTGGCAAACTCTGCACATGCTCTCATGATTGCCTAGCAGTGACCTTTATAATGCATGATGACGTGCCTATTTGTATCCTATTACATGCGGGTACGTAATGTCACTTTAACCATACCCTTTTAATAAATCTACACTTACATGGTTGCGCCCTCTGTTCTTTTCTTTGTTTTTAGTATCTGAGAGAACAGCCTGTTGAGAGGAACTGTAGCTATCATAAAAGTGACTGTTTTACAATGGACTACTGTTCTAAAATACTCCTTTTAGTTTGTTACTCAGCTTCTGCACCATTTGTTGTTGCTTATTATATTAAAGTTTAACTAAAGGTAAAGCTTTGTTTTAGCTGTGGATAGAGTGGAGAGGGATTAGAATGCATGGCAGTTTTTATTGCTGTCTGTGCCCCCGTAATTCACCCTATTTGTCTTGTTTACCATTATGAAAGTGAAAGTAAAAGAAAATTTTGGGTAGGCCCAGAAAAGTAATAAAAGGGAAATCTTCCAATGGAGACACTAGTTCTGGTGACCTGGGGGTCCCCATGAAATTCCCTTAATTTGCAGCGATTTCCTATCACTTCCGGTTTGGCTATGGGACAGGACATGAAGGGAAATTTCCGCAATGGGACACAGATGGCGAAAAAAAAAAAATAGACAGGGGTCTGCATGCAGTGCTGAATCCCACGGTGCAATTGACTGTTTTTAACCTTATTTTAAACTGTACAGTTTGCACTGTATTCTGCCTTCATGTAGTGCCCCTATATTTTGGTATTAGGACTGACACCAACCACTGGTACCAAGCCATTTGTTACATGCAGATGATTGTAGTTACGGTTGCAGAATTTTTTAAAAAGGTGCAGGGAGATCAGGCAGCCCAAAACATGTAAATTGAACGTGTGCAAAGAAAGCAGCACTACATCCTAAATGTGTAACAGCCTGTATATACTATTGTGAGCTTCCCTACACAGCTGCTGAAAAGACTGATACGGCCTGTGGCCTCATGATGCTCGCATGTGGGTGGGTCTGGCTTGGACAGGTTCACAGTGAATCACAGCCAACCTGAACAGCTGCATGGGACAACTTACAACAGTACATGCAGCTGGCACTTTGGAAAGATAATATTCCTTTGTTTACAGACGTTTATCTTTAGCTAGGTGGCCCATGTCTGCCTGATCTTCTAGAATGGTTTTCCGCCAATAAATCCATTTTATTAATATTATTTGAGATGCATTAAAAGTTTCACACAGCAAAGTAATCAGATATTAGCATTCAATAAGAAAAATTAATAATAGCGCCTATGGTCAAAATTGTATAACTTACTAATAGTGTACCAGCTGCAAAAAAAAAACCACCATATATAAAGTGTACCAATTAATAAATAAATAATTTGCGCTAGTAAATATATATAAATATATGTAAAGAAATCATCAAATCATAAGTCCAGAAAAATATATATATACCAATACCACAGAAAAATATAAAAAACTTTTTAGGTGCAAAAAAACTTTTGTGCAAAAGGAGTGTCTCAATATAAAAAAAGTGTCTCAATATAAAAAAATTTTCACCAAAAAACCTTGATAATATAATGGCAGATCATCCATAAAAATATCTTCAGAAACGGAAGCTCTCCAACACACCGATCCTCATCGATCGAAATAACAGGACGAAAAACTTTGTAGTTAATCGAAAATCCACTTCTCCAATAGAAAAAGGACCACCTTCAAACGTATCCATGGGGGGAAATGCCAAGCACTCGAGAGAAACAGAAAGACTTCATGGTGCAATATTATAAAAACCAATTCCTTTATTAGATACTCATTGCACTTACTCAAGAGGTGTCCCAGCCGACACCAGCATCAACAGCATCAACAGCAATCACATAAACGAGCCTGACTACTCAGCACATGTGCACATGTGCACTGCCAGCTATTGCACATGTGCTGAGTAGTCAGGCTCGTTTATGTGATTGCTGTTGATGCTGTTGATGCTGGTGTCGGCTGGGACACCTCTTGAGTAAGTGCAATGAGTATCTAATAAAGGAATTGGTTTTTATAATATTGCACCATGAAGTCTTTCTGTTTCTCTCGAGTGCTTGGCATTTCCCCCCATGGATACGTTTGAAGGTGGTCCTTTTTCTATTGGAGAAGTGGATTTTCGATTAACTACAAAGTTTTTCGTCCTGTTATTTCGATCGATGAGGATCGGTGTGTTGGAGAGCTTCCGTTTCTGAAGATATTTTTTATGGATGATCTGCCATTATATTATCAAGGTTTTTTGGTGAAATTTTTTTATATTGAGACACTTTTTTTATATTGAGACACTCCTTTTGCACAAAAGTTTTTTTGCACCTAAAAAGTTTTTTATATTTTTTCTGTGGTATTGGTATATATATATTTTTCTGGACTTATGATTTGATGATTTCTTTACATATATTTATATATATTTACTAGCGCAAATTATTTATTTATTAGCATTCAATGCCTAACATGTTCAAAAGTGTCAATTTGTAAGTGACTGGTTACTATGGGCCATACCTCTTTTTAAAATGTTTAAAAAGATCATCAGTAGCTATTTCAGACTGCTTAGTCTCTTCATAACAATGTTTTTTTTGGGCTTTCATTACTAGAATGCTTTGAATCGAAGGTTCAAGTATAGTTTTTTTTCTTTTCAGATGGATACTGAATGCTTGGACACAAAGCAATCCTTCTGTCTGCAAAGTGACAGTGAGGTGCATAGCTAAATTTCCATAGAACGACTTAAGAATAATTCCAGGTATCGGTATGTAACTACGTACATGACATACCTGACTGATGCAGCTGTGAATATAGGAGGTAGGCTGCCCTGCACAGGTCTATTCATAAAATGCAAAGCATTCTCTGAATGAATTTAAAGCATTCTCTGATTGGACGAGGTGTAGAGTGTGATGTTACAGCCTCACCACTCCATCTCATCCAATCAGAGAACGCTTTGCATTCATTCCACAAAAATGTGCCAGCAGTTAAGAGTTTTAGTAGAAAATAATTATTCTGTCAAAAAATAACTTACCCAATTAGAATACCAAAAGACTATTTTACCTATCAATTTTTTTTTCATTAATTTGTACAGTGAATGCTGCTTATGCACGCTACAGTTTATAAGATGCCAGGAGTTGATCCTGATGCAGAGAGTGTGTGACTAGTGCACATGCACTGGAGTTACATTATCAGTGCCTGCCTAATGGACAAAGCAAGAAGTTGTTGGACCCACAGCATTCTCAATGGTAAGTATGCCATAGCATACTTGTACCCACAGCATTCCCAATGGTAAGTATGCTATAACATACTTGTACCCACAGCATTACCAATGGTAAGTATGCCATGGCATACTTGTACCCACAGCATTCCCAATGGTAAGTATGCCATAGCATACTTGTACCCACAGCATTCCCAATGGTAAGTATGCCATAGCATACTTGTACCCACAGCATTTCCAATGGTAAGTATGCCATAGCATACTTGTACCCACAGCATTCCCAATGGTAAGTATGCCATAGCATACTTGTACCCACAGCATTCCCAATGGTAAGTATGCCATAGCATACTTGTACCCACAGCATTCCCAATGGTAAGTATGCCATAGCATACTTGTACCCACAGCATTCCCAATGGTAAGTATGCCATAGCATACTTGTACCCACAGCATTCCCAATGGTAAGTATGCCATAGCATACTTGTACCCACAGCATTCTCAATGGTAAGTATGCCATAGCATACTTGTACCCACAGCATTCCCAATGGTAAGTATGGCATAGCATACTTGTACCCACAGCATTCCCAATGGTATGTATGCTATAACATACTTGCACATTATTGCAAATCCCCCCCACATTTAATTCTGAGAGGTTAGAAAGAAATAATTTACTTGTAACTTACCATAAGCATCTTCATCTGGCTCCCCGTTACTGGCTGAGTAGTATTCTATTACAGTCCTATAGACACTGTAGCCCAGCTGTTTATACATGTTCACTGCTACCTGATTGGAAACTCTTACAAACAGATCAACAAAAAAGCCTCCTTTCCTGAAAATTAGGAAAATAAAAGGTTAGGAGGTTCTTTTAGAACATGATGCTCACAGTGCAATGTCATTATGGAGCAGCTTTCACCTTTCCGAAATTTCTTCAAGAAGTTCCATCAGTTTGGCGGCTAACCCAAGGCGCCGAAATTCAGGTGCTACAGAGAGTGCTGTGACGTGTCCATGCCACTCTTCTCGAGCCACAGACCCTTCAGCTTTGCCCATAACTAGAAGTCAAATACACATACTATTAAGTATACAGTAAGAATTCAGCTAACAATTTATCAGTTTCATTGTTAAAACCTGAAGTGTACCCCTGTACAACTGGGCCCAAGAACAAGCTAATGTTGTATAATTTTCCTATGCAACATTGCAATATTTTCTCAGTGTGGAGATCCTTAAAGGCCTTTCCATACAGAAATATTGCTTCGAAGCTCAAGATTCACCACAGGATGTACAATCTGGAATGAGAAACAGTTGCATATGTGGAGGCTAGTAATCTATTAAACTGGTCGAATACTTGTGGCCGAGGAACAGTAAAGGAGTGGCATTATAAGATATGGTCCTCCGGAAATATAATATATTACCACTTGTTTTAGCGGGCATGATTTGCAATAGCTACAGCAGGTGTGGAAGGGAGAAGGCCAGCCATGTGCTCTGTAACCTAACATTTGCAGCCCATGTTTCAATGGTTCCAGGTATCTTAGCATAAAGCAGGGATGTTGAAATTATATCACCCAACACATGTAGTTTCAGGCACCGCGCAGGTACTTTTTTTCTCTACCTTTAGCCCTGCTGCGGGCTCACCTGTCCGGTGGAATTTGGGCCGCAGAGCTACCACCTGAATGCTTCCACACAGTGCCAGCCTTTCCACCCTAGTGTGAATCTCCCCCTGCTCACTATCTCCCGGGCTGCACTTGCCTATCTGCAGGCTCAGGACCGGCTCACCGCCGGCGACTAGAGAGAAGGGAGGAGAGCGGACACATCCACTACCCTCCCTCTTCTTGTCCTGTAAAAAATTAAAGTTACACCCAAGCACATAACATCCCCCCCCCCCCCAAAAAAAATGGAGCCCCAACCCACACATACGCACGTACAAACGTAAGAGCACACACTGGGGCGCCTACGCATGAAAACGTCGTTTGAACTACACGTTACATATCGCTGCGCACGCCAGAATGAGAGCAATAATTCTAGACCTCCTACATCACACTAATTTGATGACCTAGAAGGGGCTTTAAAAGCATCACCTATAGAAAATATAGGGTACTGACGTTTGTCGCCATTTCAACAGTGCACGAAAATTTAAGGTTTGACAAGTTGGATAACTATTTACTCGCTGCAACCTCATCTTTTATATTTTACAAAAAATTAGGGTAATTTATTGCTTTTTTTGTACCCTAAAATTAATCAACTTGTATTTTTTATAGAAATTTTGCGGTAATATCATGCGACATAAAAAATTGGAACTACCACTATTTTGTTCTCTAGGATCTCTGATTTCAGAAAATACAGTATCTCACAGAAGTGAGTACACCCCTCACATTTTCATGTGACAACACTGAAGAAATGACGCTTTGCTACAATGTAAAGTAGTGAGTGTACATCTTGTATAACAGTGTAAATAACTCAACACACAGCCATTAATGTCTTAAACCGTTGGCAACAAAAGTGAGTACACCCCTAAGTGAAAATGTCCAAATTCGGCCCAATTAGCCATTTTCCCTCCCCAATATCATGTGACTCGTTAGCGTTACAAGGTCTCAGGTGTGAATGGGGAGCAGGTGTGTTAAATTTGGTGTTATCCCTCTCACTTTCTCATACTGGTCACTGGAAGTTCAACATGGCACCTCAGGACAACGTTAGGGGGTTTTATGTAATCTTCAAACATAAAATGATTTTTAAAAAATCTTGTGCAAAAAACACAAAAATGGCTCTGGCAGCTAAAGGGATAAAGGAGAAGCTCTGACCCACCCTGTCCTGACGAACACCCAATCAGTGTTCATTACACTGCAAGGTCTCTCTGCTCCCTGCTAGTCCCTGAGTGCGATGCTGTGACAGGCAGGGAGGAGAGGAGGAGATAAACAGCGCAATGCTAAAAATATTAAACGTTTAAGTCGCCATAAAACCCCTTTTGTTTTTAAAGCATTCCTAATATCACCACCGATTTAAATACGGTTTTGGTTAAAAAAAAACGTACCTGGACAAGTAGATTGTGATGAGGGACAAGTAGATTTGGGCACCGATTTAGTCCCTTGGACAAGTAGTTTTTTCAAAAATTTCCACTCCCCTGATAAACACAGTAAAGAGTGCCTGCTTTTCATTACTACTGCTGCTTTACAAATGTTAACGATGAAAACATTCAGTTAAAGCACTTAAAATGATAAAATACTGCCTGCTTGTATTTCCCATATGGTGCTTGTTTTGGACTCTTGGTGCAATGATGGTGTGATATTGTGCCTTTTTAATAGCTGAAAATCTGTTACAGGAAATAAATCAAATACTTACTGTAACCCATAAGTTCACCTCCTGGAGCCTCAGCAACAATGAAATATTCTGGCCAGTGGGCCAAATACTGTAAATAAAATGGAATCCCATACTGACACGTTTATTAAGAAACACAGTATTTACTGAACCAATTAAAATGTCCTTAAAGAAAGTTTCATCAGCAACAGATATTAACTGCAATCCAATTATTCATGTTTAAATACCAATCTTTGTAAAAAGAAACACTGAATAATTCTACAATAATTCACATCTTTATGGCTGCTATTACTGCCTGTCAGCTTCTCCCCTGCATGATGCCCGATTTTTTACCACCCACTCTGCTGTGAGCACATCTGTCAGAATGTCCTTCCTCCCCAAGTGAGGACTTGGGCCACAGACTGCAGTGTCTTCCTCTGGCTGACACATCCCCTCTCCCTGGCCTTGGGTGCTCTGCCTTCTTCACCATACAGTAAGTGAAGACTAAACCACCACTGTTCTTCCACCTGACTGAAATACCCTTACCCTCTGCTTGTGTTGTGACCAGTACTGCCAATCACCGCTCATTAAGTATTTGTCTCAAATGTAGCAGCGTGGCTAGACAGTGGTGGTGGGAGAGGGGGGTTATGATCAACTGCTCTAGCTCTGGATGTACTGCACCAATGCAAATGTACAAAGTACTGTATGCATCTGTCCTATGTGGGAAAGGATAAAGCAAACATATGTAAGATGAGACTTCTTCAGTAAAAGACAAGCATGGCTAAAGCATGTTTGCCCGTACTTCTCTTCTGGATCACAGGAGTGCACTTAGTTATGCACAACTGTGACCCAGATTCAGCTGACAGCAGACTTAAGATGTCACACAGCTGGTCCAGCTCTGCAGGTATCCCAACAATAATGTCAGGATTCACCCACATGCTTGACCAGCAGCTGTCTCAGATTCTCTACTGAGAAACTGAGCCAGCTGCTCCTGTCCCCTCCACAGCATGGCGCACCAGTCAGTTAAGACTGAGTACTTGGTCTTAGAGCTGGCAGGGGACCAATGCAGAAACCACATATATGATTATACACTGCTCAAAAAAATTAAAGGAACACTTTTTAATCAGAGTATAGCATCAAGTCTATTAAACTCCTGGGATATTGATCTGGTCATTTAAGTTGCAGAGGGGGTTGTTAATCAGTTTAAGGTGCTTTGGTATTAATGAACTTAACAGGTGCACTAGATGGGCAACAATGAGAATGAGATGACCCCCAAAACTGGAATGGTTTTACAGGTGGAGGCTACTGACATTTTTTTCCCTACTCATCTTTTCTGACTGTTTTTCACTAGGCTAGGGTCATTGTCACTACTGGTAGCATGAGGCAATACCTGAACCCTACAGAGGTTTCACAGGCAGTCCAACTCATCCACAATGGCACATCAATACGTGCCATTGCCAGAAGGTTTGCTGTATTCCCTAGTACAGTCTCAAGAGCATGGAGGAAATCCCAGGAGACAGAGTTACTCTAAGAGAGCTGGACAGGGCCGTAGAAGGTCCTTAACCCATCAGCAGGACCGGTATCTGTTCCTTTGTGCAAGGAGGAACAGGATGAGCACTGCCAGAGCCCTACAAAATGACTTCCAGCAGGCCACTGGTGTAAATGTCTCTGACCAAACAATTAGAAACTTCATGATGGTGGCCTGAGGGCCCAACATCCTCTAGTGGGCCCATTGCTCACTGCCCAGCACTATAGAGCTCGATTGGCATTTGCCATTGAATATCATAATTGGCGGGTCCGCCACTGCATCCTGTGCTTTTCACTGATGAGAGTAGGTTCACCCTGAGGACATGTGACAGACATGAAAGGGTCTGGAGAAGCCATGGTGAACGTAATGCTGCCTATAACATCGTTCAGCATGACCGTTTTGGTGGTTGGTCAGTGATGGTCTTGGAAAGCATTCCACGGAGGGACGCACAGACCTCTACAGGCTAGAAAATGGCACCATGACTGCCATTACGTATCGGGATGAAATCCTTGGATCCATTATCAGAACCTACACTGGTGCAGTGGGTCCTGGGTTCCTCCTGGTGCACGACAATGCCCGGCCTTATGGGCCGAGAGTTTGCCGGCAGTTCCTGGAGGATGAAGGAATTGATAGCACTGAATGGCCCCCACTCTCGCCTGACCTAAATCTAATAGAGCACCTCTTGGACCTAAATCTAATAGAGCACCTGTTATTTCGGTCCATTTCACACCACCAGGTTGCACCTCAGACCAGGAGCTCAGTGATGCCCTGGTCCAGATTTGGGAGGAAATACCCCAGGACACCATCCATCGTCTCATTAGGAGCATACCTCGACATGGTCAGGCATGCATACAAGCACGTGGAGGTCATACAAACTACTGAGTACCTTTTTGAGTTGAAATTTCAGCAAAATGGACGAGCCTGCTGCATCATTTTTTTCACTATGATTTTCAGGGTGTCTTTGAATTCAGTCCTCTGTAGGTTGAGAATTTTCATTTCCATCAAACGATAGGGCATCCTTACGTTTCTATACGTTTCCATATCAGTATAGATATCCAGCATGATATTTTTCCTTATTGAGATCTGATGTGTTTTCAAAGTGCTCCTTTAATTTTTTTTTTTTTGAGCTCTGTATGTTTTTTTCTTTTTAATGTCCCTGCACTGCCCCTGTAAGATAAACGTCTACCGAGTTATTGAACACTTTGGTAGATGGCAAAGTCAAATAAAGGATACAGTTTCTGTGAGGGGATCCAAATTTCTGCAAAAAAAAAAGAATAAGAAAAACAGACACATTATTAATGTGTTAAAGCAGGAGTATAACATAACCCCTCATGTTTTGCATTGTATTTGTATTGTTCTGTCACATGTTCTATCCCCCTTTGTAATGTACAGCTCTGAGCGAACTATTGGAGCTTTATAAATGCTGTATAATAATAATAATATAATAATATTGTGATCTCATCTCCTTCCCAGTGACAGCAATCTTGAAAGCATTTGTAAACTTGAACGATAACATTCTCCAATTTGTTTCCAACAATTAATTCAAACTACAGTGATGTCACCAACCAATACATTCTCCTGCTGCGTAGGAAGCTTGCGCAATGCATGTGAACCTGGTGACATTCACTGTAGTTTGCCAATTTTTTGCTTTGAGCGGTTTTTTTCTGCTTGTCTTTTTTTTTTTTTCCTTTGGGCACAGCTTCCACAGTTCAAGTCTTCTTTCAATCACCCCCACTATTTTTGATTGTCACAGTAGATTGTAAGCTCTCATGGGAGTGACCCACCGAACACTCTTGTATTTGATTGTATTTTAATTGTACTGTCCTTTCTTCTGTAAAGTGCTAAACAAATTGTTGGGGCTATAGAAATCCTGTATAATAAAATAATAAACAACATCACCAAATACTTCTGAATAAACTTCTATAGCTAAAGCACTTCTGTCCAAAATAGGAAAAAAAAAGAGTGATGGGTCATTTAAAGATTAAATGACAAAACCAGATCCTGCTGCAAATATTCAGCTTCAGTCTTTCTTTCAGCCACTAGATGTCCTCTGTCTGATAGCCAGCATCATTTAACCACCTCCTCTAAACCCAGGTCCTCTTGGACCTGCCCCTGCCTGTGATTGGATACTGAAAGAAGCAGCACAGTGATGGCTTAATGTCCCTGTAACTCTGCTTGGTCCTCCTATCAACATGCTTCATCAGCAATTGAACTGGTTGGCTCCTTGTACTGCTTTTTCCTCTGAAAATTCAGCCCTGCTATATAGGGCTTACAAAAGGCTGATTCCAGGTCAGATTTGGGTATTTATATGACAGTCGGCCTTTGGAGTGGCTCATACATCTCTGTATACAAGTACTGCTCTGATGTACATATACACTATATTGCCAAAAGTATTGGGACACCCCTCCAAATTATTAGATTCAGATGTTCCAATCACCTCTGTGGCCACAGGTGTATAAAATCAAGCACCTAGGCATGCAGACTGCTTCTACAAACATTTGTGAAAGGATGGGTCGCTCTCAGGAGCTCAGTGAATTCAAGTGTGGTACTGTGATAGGTTGCCACCTGTGCAATAAGTCCATCCATCACATTTCCTGGCTACTAAATATTCCACGGTCAACTGTTAGTGGTATTATAATAAAGTGGAAGCAACTTGGAACAGCAACTCAGCCACAAAGTGGTAGGCCACGTAAAATGACAAAGCGGGGTCAGCGCATGATGACGTGCACAGTGCGCAGAAGTCACCAACTGTCTGCAGAGTCAATAGCTAAAGACCTCCAAACTTCACGTGGCCTTCAGATTAGCACAACAACAGTGCGTAGAGCTTCATGGAATGGGTTTCCATGGCCGAGCATCTGCATCCAAGCCTTACATCACCAAGTACAATGCAAAGCTTCAGATGCAGTGATGTAAAGCACACCGCCACTGGGCTCTAGAACAGTGGAGACGTGTTCTCTGACGAATGACGCATCTGTCTGGCAATCTGAAGTCTGGGTTTAGCAGTTGCCAGGAGAACGGTACTTGCCTGACTGCATTGTGCCAAATGTAAAGTTTGGTGGAGGGTGGATTATAGTGTGGTGTTGTTCTTCAGGGGTTGGAGTTGGCCCCGTAGTTCCAGTAAAGGGAAGTCTTAAGGTGTCAGCATACCAAGGCATTTTAGACAATTTCATGCTCCCAACTTTGTTGGAACAGTTTGAGGATGGCCCCTTCCTGTTCTGACATGACTGTACACCAGTGCACAAAGCAAGGTCCATAAAGACATGGATGAGCGAGTTTGGGTGGAGAAACTTGTCTGGCCTGCACAGAGTCCTGACCTCAACCCGACTGAACACCTTTGGGATGAATTAGAGTGGAGACTGCGAGCCAGGCCTTCTGATCTGACATCAGTACCTGACCTCACATATGAGCTTCTGGAAGAATGGTCAAATATTCCCATAGACACACTCCTAAATCTTGTGGACAGCCTTCCCAGAAGAGTTGAAGCTGTTATAGCTGCAAAGGGTGGACCAACTCAATATTGAACCCTACGGACTAAGATTGGGATGCCATTAAAGTTCATGTGCGTGTAAAGACAGGCGCCCCAATACTTTTGGCATTATAGTGCATTTGCATACAGCTGCTGCCTATTTCAGCCTGTCATTGATTTTAACAGGTGGCTGGCAGTGGGCATAACACTGCCCCTGTGACTACAGAGAATTACGGCCAAATGTACGTTTTACGGCCCTCTGGCATCCATGTGCATGAAGTCTTAACATTATACCAAATGCCTAGAAAGGGCATAAAAAGCCATCCTCATCCATTTATACTGATAATTTTGTATCCCTTATGTGCCTAGTCACATAGATATAATTACTATTAAGCTATTGCCTGTCTGACACAGAAATGATCAGGCAGAGCAATGAAGGGAGATTTGTTTCATCATATTAGCACTCCCGCATTTGTGATGCAACACAGGGGATATGGCAAGGTACGGACTGGATGCTGTGCGACCCCCAAACAAGTTGTCTGTCAATCAGCCATGACACTACAAGCTGAAGCCACAACATGTAAGTGCAAACAAACGACACAGGGATTAAAGTTACACTAATATCTGGTTAAAACAACAAAAACAGTTGAAAGTGTACAATAACTTTAATGTCACAATTTTCAACGTGTATGTATTAACACACTGCACAAATATGAATCCTGACTAGGAGGGAATTTTCCCTCACTTTGGACAGATTTTCTTCTTTCCAACAGACCATAGACAGAAAAAACAAAAAAAAAAAAAAGTGCATTATTTATTTATTTATTTCATATGCCTGTAAAGCACTACACCTGCGATCAGCAGTTCACAGGAACAATGCAGGGCTCCTGCAGAGTCAGTGTATCTGTCTGCTCGTACCTCGGGCAGGCAGTTAAACAATGGCAGGAAGACTAAACAAACTACCTAGAGTTCTCATTAGTGCCGTGGTAATTCATTTAGAACTACAAGCCATCAACCACAAAAGCTGTCGGTACTTGTAGCTCATTCATTCACAGAACCCTCTGAATGAATGATGTGGGCGGAGCCCTGTATGGCTGTATTCTTTTCAAATTGTGAAAGCGGGAGTGGGGAGAAGATCCCCGGCCCACTGTCAAAGAGAGGTATTGGGGGGGAGGCTGCAGGAGCCCTAAAAACGAGTGCAACATGTAACACCTTCCCAAAGGTGAACTTATCCTTTAGTCCTCATGCACACTGGACGTTTTTACAGCTGCTGTTTTAGGCTTTTGGCGGTTTTTTTTTTACAGCCAGTAAACTCCCCAGCATGTTATCTAAGGTGTCCATGCACACAAAACTGTAATCAGCGTTTTTTGGCTGGAAAAAAAACAGGACTAGTGGTTTTCTAGAGGAATTTTTTAGCTGTAAAAACATTCTAATGCTGTAAAACGTGGCAAATTGGCGTTTTAGACTTTTTTTTAGCAAAAAAAGTATTCTTTTTTTTTGGGGGGGGGGGGGGACGCGGAAAAACACTAATGCAAAAACGGTAAAAACTGTTTTTAACGTGACTTTACACAGATAACGCTGTGTATCTGTGTAAAGTCCCAGTTAAAACACCCAGTGTGCATGGAGCCTTAAACTGGGTTCATCATCTCAGGTATTATCTGAGTAGCACCTAGTGTTCCCAGGCCCCCCTGGTGCCTCTAGAGAAGAATTCAGACCAACTTGACTTTTTTTCTGACATCAGATGGAAAGTCACTTGTACTGCTGCAGAACACAGCATTGTATACTGTATGTACCTGGTGCTACTACAGTATTATACAGCATACACAGTGGCTGAAATAGCTGGCCCAAACAAACTATGTAAAGTGAAGCATAAAATTCAGCCGCTTTGTAAAATGTGCTGGCATACTGTGTGTTAAGGTGGTTCTATGTATTAAAGTATATTCTATGCATTAGGGTCTATGCAGCTCCCCCCCTTCCTTATACTCACCTGAACTCGATCTCAATCCAGCAATGTGCATGAAAGCCACAGGTCTCCCTCCTCATTGGATCACACAGTCACACAACCAATGAGGAGAGAGCGGGGGGATGTGCCGAGCCGCACTGTGTGTGAATGGACAACGTCCATTCACAGGAACGCGGCTCAATAGCAAGAGGGATGCTATTGGGGGCACATGGCAGGGGGGAGGAGCCAGTACCGCTGGCCGGGAAAAAGAAGAGCATCGGGGCTGCTCTGTGCAAAATCATTGTGTCACCTGGACACAGTGGATCACATTACCGCTGTGTTTGGGGGAAAGCATGTTGTTTTACCAATCACAGCACTTACATTGTAAACACTAGAAAGTGAAAGTAAAGATCGCTTCTCTCTGCTCTCACTGTGAGAGTAGAGAGAAGCGATGCAGCAGCTTCAGAGTGTGCAGCAGCCTGTCAGGCAGCATGTACACTCACACACTGCTGTGCCAGCCACCCCAGTGTCCCTGATCACTGTCAATAGTAATAAACAAAACAACCAGCTCTGTCACCTGTCCCAGTGCATACAATAACATGGCCATACCAGAATCCTGATCACCACCATACCCCATAAAAGCATTCTGATCACCGCCATAACCCATACCAACGCCCTGATCACCGCCATGCCCCATGCCAGAATCCCTATCACCGCCATACCCCATACCAGCAGTCAGATCACCGCCGTGCCCCATGCCAGCGTCCCGCTCACCGCCGTGCCCCATGCCAGCGTCTCGCTCACCGCCGTGCCCCATGCCAGCGTCCACTCACCGCCGTGCCCCATGCCAGCGTCCCGCTCCCGCCATGCCCCATACCAGTCCTG